TTGATAACCCTGTGCAGCTGCCCACTGTGTTCCCCCTCCTCCAGTGTCCTGTCCACCCATCATCCTGACCCTTACCATCAAATCTGATGTCACCCCAGCCGGTCACCCAGCACATCGTGCCTGCAGGGACCCTGAGTTCTGGATGAGAGAGGGCGACCAGGTTGACTCGATCAGACAGCATCACGGGAGCTGCCAGTTTGAGAAGTGCCACGTCTCCTCCACCTGCTCCTTTCAGCATAGGATTGTAGTTGGGGTGGACGATGACCTCAGTCACCTTCTGAAGAATGTCACTCTCAGAGGATTTCACTTGTCCCACTTGGACCCCAAATTGCCGAGGCTCCAGTCTTCCCCTGGTGGGAAGAGAAGACCGGAAGCTTCTCAGAGGCTGAGGCAGAACGTGGATCAGCACACAGCAGGAGGGGGCCAGCCCCTCGGAGCCCAGAATGGAGGGGGTGTCTAGGAGGGTGAATCCCCCAGGACTGCAGCCTCCCCACCCAGGAAACTCCACAACACACGACAGCACCCTCAGCATTGTCAACAAACCAGGGGAAGGAGAATCACTCACTTTTTAACACAGTGGGCGGCAGTCAGCACCCACTGGTGGTGGATGAGGGAGCCCCCACATTCAAGCATCCACTCATTCTCTGGGTTGTGGATCCACAGGCTGGCCAGCCATGGCCACTTCCCGGTGGGGGCATCATGTCCTCCCACGATGCCCACAAGCTCAATTTCTGGGCTTGGAGCTGGGAAGGCAGAGTGAGGAGTCATTGGGACCCAGGCCTCCCTGCCCTCAGCTCCACTCAGCTTCCTCTGCTCAGACCCTCCCCAAGCTCAGGAGTGAGCAGGGCCATCATTATATGGGTCCCCATCCCTCCCCAGGGCTTCTCCAGAGACCAGGGACAGGGCGGGCATTGGAAAGGATCAGCACTCGCCTGGGGTCACAGGCACGGAGCCCCTCATGTAGGGGAGGGTCAGCAAAAGCACCCACAGCATCTGCAGGGGGAGGGGAGGGGAGGGCTGGGTGAGGAGACTGGTGCCCACCCCAGGGTCTGGGATGGAGAGGGC